TCTGATGCCTACACAGATTCTGAATCACTCAAGCAGATGTTCCAGTTTAAATACTGTGTCTCATTTGGACCACCAACATATGTAGTAATTTATTAACAGGCTTTGTTGACTCTCTGGACATTTTCTGATTTATTTCTTAGATTTTTTTTTTTTAATCTCACCTTTATTTCCCCACTACCACCACCACCAATTCTCTATATTAGCTGGGCTTTCTGAAACATTTATCAGTTCAAACTGACACTGGTAATCTTCTGAGCCCTGAGTAGAGAACCACTCAGTTATTTTAGTAAATAGACTTAGATTCATATTGTATACCCAATAATTCACCTTTCAATCAGGCCACTTAGTTTTTCCTTGGATCAAAATGGTGACCTCACATCTTCAGAGCATGTTCCCATCTTGCTCCTACTCTTCAGAATTGACCCCTTTTTAAAGGTTCAAAAAGGTCCTTAATATGTTGCTTTTTAATTTCAAATTATAACAGTGTTCATAATGTTTGTTGTGTTGATTTTACATACACACACAATATTGTAATGTTACTGTTTTTATACTTTACTTAGGTATAAATACATACCAAATAATATCATTAGTTCCTAAACTTAATAAATAACTTTAAAATAGAATCTCATGATAGTTTCTGGACCATAACATGTCATGGTCATATTCACTGATATAAAACCATCTCAATTTATAGCGAAAGAAAAAAGGAAGGAAGGAAGGAAGGAAAAGAAAGAGAAAGAAAGAAAGAAAGAAAGAAAGAAAGAAAGAAAGAAAGAAAGAAAGAAAGAAAGAAAGAAAAGAAAGCCATTGGTTTTATTCAAGATGGTGATGAGCTGCATATAGACAGGAGGTTGAATAACAGGCCCTGTGATTCAGCTGTAACAGTCTGGAGCTGAATACGCTTAAAAGTATAGAGATGAGAGTGGATTTTAGAATGAGCCCTTCTATTTTACCACCTCTTACCATATTCAACAACAGAGTATCAGCAGTAAAGTCCTTCAAATTTTTGGATTCTATACTCTCCCAGGACTTGAAATAGACACTTAATATTAGAACCATCATTAAAAAGGCATAACAAAGAATGTTCTTCCTGCGTCAGCTCAGGAAGTTCAGACTGCCCCAAGAGCTGTTGATGCAGTTTTACAGAGGAATTATTGAATCTGTTATTTGTACTTCTATAACTGTCTGGTTTGGTACAGCAAGCAAAGGGAACAGGTACAGATTCCAACAGATAGTTAAGACTGCAGGAAGAACAATTGCAACCAGTCTGCCTGCCATAGACGACCTGTATATTGTGCAGGTCAAAGGGAGGGCTGAGAAGATATCTGCAGACTCTTCACATCCTGGACATAAACTCACTTTGGGATGCCCCTAAAAAAAGGGCATTGCAAGCCAACAACTAGACACAGAGGTAGTTTTTTCTCCTCGGGTCATCACACTGCCAAACACCTAATTCCCACAGTACTGTCTTATGTCTAAGGATATTTACCCATGTAGTAGGGCTGTAGTATTATTATTATTTATCCTTCTTATTATCTTTCTTACATTTCCCCTCTTATTGTTATTATTATTGTGATTATTATTATTATTCTGTTACTTTGCATGTACACTGAGACTACTGCACCGGTCACAAATTCCCTGTGTATATAATCACACTTATTCAAATAAAATATTCAATGCAATTCAATAAATATAAAGTTGTCAGTTTAATATGCAAGATACAGAAAAAGCATGTCTGTTTTGAAAATATGACATGTCCTGTTATTGTTCTTTTATTATTAGTCAGGAAATACAATTTTCCCCCTGTCAATTGTTTACTTGTAATGCATTCTAGAACAAAACTTGAGGGCTTTAAAAAGAAGATACATTATCCTTTCATTGACATAAGACTATTAGGAAGATGTTTCCAATAATTAAATTGGATAATGACTAATTTAAGGTAATAAATGCTGGTCTTTTATGGCTGAATTCAAGTTGTTATTCAGAAACTGCCAAAATGGGGGTAGAAGCTTCTTGGTCTATGAACAGGCCAAATAAGGAATAAAGTAGTTGAATATTACAACTTGAATATTAATTTGAGTAGCAACTTGAATATTAACCAGAGTTACAGCAATATCAACAATATTGTAGGGAAAACATACTGAGTGTTCAAAGCTAATTCTTTTTCATTTCTCCTGCTCCTATTTGCTGTCCCTAAGTTGTCATTCTTACAAACTTTTATTACATGTTGGTAGAAGAGACAGAATATTTCTCGAAGTTATATTTAATTTTTTTATTTTTAACAAGTTATCATACAGAAATGTCTCAGTCTACTAAGCAAAATTTTAGCTTAAAGCTTTAGCATAAATCTCTTTACTATAATCTTAAAGCAATAAGCCTTAAAGGAATTTTAAAAAACTGCAGTGCTTTTATAGCTGAATCAAAATTTCCTATTCAGAGAAGTGAGTGTGTGACATCTTTGTGATTTTGTTAAGAAGCTGCAAATAGGGCAAAATAAGGATAAAATTAACTAGCAGTGGCAATCCTGCTCCTGCTGTTGAAGTGATATTACCTTTACTCACAAAATACCACTGCAGAAAGAATTATCAACTTTGAATTTGAATCCCTCACCACAATCATTGAGATGTGTGATTAGGTCCAAAACTCTATCAAAATGAGAGTAGTGCTTTCTGCTCTCAGTTTATCATTTTGATACCAAAAAAAACCATTGCTCAATGCTCACAGAATGGCAGCAACAGCTGCAAAACAGATAAATGAGCAGAGAAGATTTCAGCAAATGCTAGTTTTATTTCTAACAATTTGGCAGTTGACTCTTGGCTTTTTAGGGTCCTGGCTTGGAATGTGGTTGCAAAGCACCTGCTGAATATTCACAGGATGTAATCTGGGGTGGTCATTCACATAGTTAGGAATACAAGAGACATTTTTACACGAAGTGCAAGTTATTATTTTTATTCAATAAATTTATATAATGCTTCCTCTTTAGTCACATCATAAAACAGTTTACAAGTTTAAAAAATGACTGGAGTTCAGTAATAAAATTAAGTGCAAAGATTTGCTAAGAGCAGCCATAGCTTGACACTGGAACCATTATTCAGACTGATACACACTCAGTAGTGGGCTGGGCTGAGCTCCCCTTTCTTTGGAGGTGTTCAAGCAGAGGATGGACAGCAGTCTGTTAGGTTGCTATTTGACATTGAACTAGGAGACAAAATCTGTTAAGATTTGTATGTCTGTGGAGATTCTGAGTCATCCAGGTCATAGTTGTCTCAAAAGTGCTTTTTCAAAAGGCAACTGGACTGTTTTTTCATTGAGGAAGAAGAAGAAATTTAGTTTCTCGTCCAAGAAATTCTATCAGTTGTGATGGGGGGAGGGAGGGAGGATGGGTTCTGACCAGATGATGGGAAAACTTCAAGTTCCAGAACTCTCAACAACAGCCATGAAGACAAGGGAGCTCTGGAACTTGGAAGTTACAAGATTGGGAATCACTGATGTAGAAGAGGAACTGCAGCTCATGTGTAGTTTTTTAAAAGAGTATACATTTTACTGTACTGCAGAAATTCCATTTATTGATCTTTGTATGAAATAACATTGAGGTTTGGAAGGAACAAAACAATACGTCTTTGCGTACTTTGAAAATGTTTCAGAAATGCTTCAAAATGTGTGCAACACATTTTTTTAATGAATTGACTCAATTGATTTGAATTGATTAAACTGTTGTGTCTTTTTTTGAGGCTTGCACAAAAGTAGGAAATAATCCTTATGTATCTTTGTGTTGGTATTTATAACTTAGCTACTTCACTTTACATTTTTCCTTTGCATTTAAAAACAGTTTACCTGTGAAATCAAACAATAAATGGGCAACACCGCCATGTTCTAATTTAGGTATTTGGAATTGATTGTTGCAAAAATCATTCCTTTGATCCAGCAGCACAGTTTTTGTCTGTAGTTCTTGTGGCTGTATCATGAAATGTCACTTTCTTAATTAATTGTTATACTGCTGCAGACTTGCAGTTTTAAAATGTTTTATTAAAAAAGGAACAGAAAGCAACCTTTAGATCATCAAAATGTATTCTTGTATTGCCAATTCAAATTGCACATAGTGTTAATTTTCCAATGTGCCATTGTTTCGGTGATATAGTAGTAAAGCTATGAATTTTTCAGAGGTATGATTCCAAAATACTGAAAAGCAACCTGTCATACATTTATTTATTATTTAACATATTTAAGAAGCGCACAGAACCATGATTTTATGCCTTTATGGAAGGCCAAGAGAGTGGGGGGCATCTCACCTCCAGGGGCAGCGTTTCCACATGGCAGGAGCAACAGCAGAGAAGGCTCTCTTCCTGGACCCGGCCAATCAGAATTATTTTGCTAATAGGATCCGCAACATACCTTCCCTGTCTGACCAGGTAGGGCGAACGGATGTAAAGGGATGAAGAGGGTTCCATAGGTAACCAGGCCCCATATGCCATGTAAGACTTTTAAAGGTCATAACCAACATTTTGAATTGGACTTGGAAGCAGACCAATACCCAATGCAACTTGTGCAGCAGAGGTAGTACATCCTTTGAGTGCCTAAGGGTGGCCACATGGCTGCTTTTTGTACCAGCTGAAGATTTATTCCTGACATTCTTACAAAGCTATAAACACATGCCTTCTTTGTATCTTCTTAAATTTCACTTCTGTGCCTGGGATGACAGATATCATAGCTTACTGCTTAATAAGTAGCAATGTTATTTATAGTTCTTATCCCATATCATTCAAAGATGCCCCGGTATGCTTTGCTCCAAACATCTCAATATGGAATATAGCAAATTAATGCATTTTTTTACATTTCCAATGTGCCCAGTATCTTTACCTTTCTACTGACTTCTGAAAAGTTAGTAAATCAGAAATGTGTATAACAGCAGAAAGAATTATTTTGACTCCCAGCTAGAAAATTGTTTGCAATACTTGGCCCTGCCAAGATCTAAAACTACACTTATCTCTTTTTGCCTTCAGAAAACTGCCTGGAACAGAAGCAGAAACCACCCCGTCGAAGATGTCAGCAGCCCAAAGTGCTGAATAGCCCTGAGGATAACATATATTATAACCAGTTAAATGTAAGTTCAAAGTGGCCATACAGCTGTTTTACTGTCTTTGTTTCCCATTAATAATTCTGGTATTAATACCTGTTCTAAGCCTACCAGCCCCACCCCACCCCAGTGCCCTCTCCCCACTCCCACCCCAGAGTTCTTCAGCTCTCGTCTTGAACATGTGCTTATGCTCTTTATCTGTTGCTTTCATGTCAGGATGTCTGCCTTCACGGTGAATAATTGATGTGGTTTATCAAAGACGAGCAAGATGCATGCTTCATCAGGCTCGCTTGAGCCCTTTGATCAAAAAAATTATGCTGTGACTTCTGATATTATCAGCATCTGCTTGCATTCAACACAAAATCACTTTGAATTAAAAATTAACGACTTGCTGCTCTGCTTTGACTGTGTGTTCTTGGCCCTCTCCACAGGGAACTCTAGGATATCAAGGGAGCAAAAGGAAGCCAAGAAAACTTGGGTAAATATCCATCTTCTTAGTTCTAAGCAACAGTAAACAGAAGAAATCCTTTGTGAGATTATAGGAAAGGCGCAAACTTTCTAGAGCAATTTCTGAAAATCAACAGCAAGCTTCTTTCTCTTTGTAGCAGCTGTGGGCATTTTGCTACTGATGCAAAAGGAAAGTGTGCGTTTAATGTGAGCTGTATACACACGGGGGAAACGGTCTTTCCTGAGGAAAAATATGCTTCTCAGCAAAATGCAGGCAGTTCGTTTCACAATGAATTCGCTAAAAGTAGCCAGTGATGGCTCTTGTCAAAGTAAAGAGCTACAAACTGTGAACCCAGACATGACAGGAGGGACAGCAATTCAAAAATCCTCCTGATCCACAGCATAAACTAGCTGGAGGGGAAAAGATAAGAAGGAAGGTCACATGTTTCCACAAAGATCAGTTCTTGGCTATTCTTTCTTGGCTCTTGTGAAAGGGCTGCTTTTTTTTAATGTGGCATTCATTTTATTATTATGGTGACAAGCATTATGCCGCTAAGTATGTTGAGCTACATCTCTGAACACGCTGGCTGGAAATACTGAACAGTGTAGCCCAGAAGACCTGAAGGCTTGGGAAAGACCACATTATAAAGAGATATTTTTTTTCTTGGTAGGGAAAAATCATGATGCAATGGCCTCTGCATTATTTATGGCAGTACCAGAATCAAAGTCGGCAATAAAGCATGCTAAACACATGAATATAGTTTAGCTTGAGCCCCAAACAGCCATATCAGAGATAGACTGTGCTTTAAGTTTATCCTGTGATTTCCCTTTGTAGGAATCTATTGCAGGCGTATATGGGTTTAAAAGCTTTTAATAAAAATGGCTTCATTTTACTCCTACAGGGTTTAGAAAACATAAATCTTATTTTACACATCCATACTATCATTAGTGTCATATAAGAACAGTTGGTGATACAAGTACATGAGTATTAAACAAATGGAGGTAGAAGCCACCTTCATGCAGCAAAGCTAATTATCCACTTTTCTTCCTTGATATAATTACTTTTATTCCAAATGCCAGACCAACCAAGAAAATCTCCTAAACTGTCAGAAAAACTTATGTGAAACGTATAATACATCTTGTCAGCATGAATGGAGGCCACTTATAGTTCTCTAGAACTTGTCCATCAAACTTAAACTATCCAAACAAACAAATGTTAAATTATGTATGTTATCCATGTATGTACATTAGGCCTTACATTACTGTTTGGAAGTTTGTCATGGATGTCAGAGGAACAACTTTAGTTTTAGAATAAAGTCTTATTATGCTTGAAGATGTTACTGAAAATACATCATGAACAGATTCTTGATGGATGATAGAACACCTAACTGGATATAAGAAAAGATCTGGTGGCTGAGATCATAAAGCCAACCAGCTGCTTTTAAGAAGTCCATAAACTGAACTTGGGAGCAGTAGCTCTCTTCCACATGTGTTTCCCAGCAACTGTTGTTAAAGAGGCATCCTCCTTCAGGAGATAATAGAAGCCATTGATAACTTTATCTTTCATGAAATAAGAAGTATCTGAGCTGCTCTTGTGATTTATGCTTCTTATGCTCTTTACCAATATAATAATCAGAGATTAGGTATCTATATCTATAGTATATATCAGAGTAGAGATCAAAATGGGTTTTCCCAGGATTCTCCCACCTAAGTAAATGGTACGGTGAAGATTCATGTCTAGCTGAGAGTACAAATCACCTAATTAAAATCTGAAATTACTATAAATCAAAGCCAGAGCCTTCTATTGTGCTGAGTAAGCATCCAGAAGAAAGCAGATTTGCTGCTGTGATAAATGCTATGAGCTCAGGTCCTCTAGAAAAGCTAAATTCTTCACCAGCCTCTGTTAGATATTCACCTCAAAAGTAACATTTGCTCCTCCACTCAGACCAAGGCATTTCTTGTACCAATTAAACAAAAATAGCTAGAAATCTGATGTGCTGTTTGTAATGCTTTATTTTGTTTTAATTTTCCTTAGTCAAATAAAAGTGCTGGATTGGGAAGATGAGTATTACAAGTCATTATCAGTGGTAGATTCTATCACAGAAGAAGACAACACATTTCAACCCCTTCCTCCCTTTCAAAGCTGAACTTTGGCTCCCTAACTCATCAGTGTGAGGTTGGTAAGGAACCCAAGATGTGTTCTCATTTCTAGCTGATGTATGGATGTGTACATTGGTTGTATAATGTGCACATATGTATATGTTAGGAGCATATCTGCCAAATAGTGGTATATGCTATGCTACTCAATCAGTCTACTGCAGTGGTTCTCAGCCTGTGGTCCACAAAGTCTTGAAGAAATATTATGATTTAAACCTTGCATTAAGTTGGTGGTCCATGGCCAGGATCCGTGGCTACAAAAGGAATTTAAAGGGGGGTCTGTAGTAAAGAAAAGGTTGTGAACCATTAGTCTACTACATTCCAAAGAGGGAAATCAATATCACAAATTATCCAACCCCAAACATGGTACCTGGGAAAGTTTGACTTAATTTGTAATGCGAGGAAGATCCGTCCACCAAAGGGGGAGACTGTTAACATCCATTTAAAATCCAACATAAGGGCAGTGTTTGTGTGTGTGTGTGTGTGTCTATATATATTTGTCGTGTTTACATTATCTTGCAAAAGAGAATTCAATTCATTTCTTATTTTTCCCAGAAGAGAAGGAAAAGCATATCAAAAGCCTATGTAGCAGAAGACTTAATAACATACGATGAAAGCACTTAAATTAGCACCTTGTAGTTGTAGTTTTGAACTGAAGCAGAAAATTTTAAAACCAAAGCAAGAGAAACTACTTCATCTGACCACAGAAAATCAAATCCTGTTGGCCCTTTTTCTCATTAAAAAACAACTGGGAGCATTAGGCCAAGGACTTATCTAGTCCAGCATTTTGCTTGTATAATAAGCAACCAGCTATCACTTCAGAAGCTGACAGGCAGGACAGGGGAGAGGCAATACTAAATTTCCCCAACAACTAGCATTGATAAATAAGCTGCCTGTTAGCATGCAATAAACCTGTATTCATTTGAACATCTTGCTTCCTGATTTCTTGTGCCTGATACTGCCTCTGATATCAGAGGACTTGGTGATCAGTATGTCTAATCACCAGAGTTATCCTCTCCATCATGGGCTTGCCCAGCCACACAAACTCTGCAGTTCAGTTATATGCTTTGTGAACAAGCTCTTCCTTTCTTGCTGAATACTAAACATACTTACTAGAGTTAACCATCACTGAATTTAATGGGTCTTGATTCTGAGGCTCACATTGCTCGTCATGTTTTATCAATTCAACCCTATTCATGTTTTCTCAAAAATAACTCCATTGACTTATTTCCCAGTCAACATGTACTAAACCACAAAGTATACAGCTTTTGAAAAGTATTTGTGCTTCAGACTTTCTGCAGTATTTATTATTTTAGATATTCTGTGAAAAGTACCAGTAAAAACAGAAAATTAAAAAATGTACGAACAATCAACATTGTTAATGTTAATACGAAGGCACAGGAAGTAGTTATTTGGAATCTAAGTACTGTCAATACTAGCTCTTCTTCTCTATAACAACTCTGATGCATGTGCCGCCATTTCCAAATTAGGAGAAGTTGTACCTATTCTGAACCAGTGTCTGGATACAGTGATGGGTAAAGACCGATAAACTAAGATTGAAGCTGGACAAGACAAACACCTCTTAAATGGTGATTGTTGAGTACCAGAATTGGGTTCAGGAATTGCATACAAGGGTTGCATTCCATTGGAAAGAATAGATGGTGTTGAGTCCGTGGCGGGAAAATAGACACGAGAAGCAGCTGGAGTTCTCAGTTTCTTTTATTCAGCGTTCAGCTTACAGGAAGATGGCTTCAGCCTCGCCCAAACGCCTCGCAGCCTCTTATATAGGCAACTCCCGGGTAAATGGGTTACTTTTCCCGCGCCAGCACCCGCGCATGCGCACGGCGCTGGCGACAGCCTGTCTGGTCCCGGGCAGCTTTGCACCTGCCCGGGACTGCCTGCAAACGCCCGAGCCGTTTGCAAGGCTCGGGACATAACACCCCTTTCCCCCGGGCTAAAACTACTACCAACATACAACATTTATTTTACACGACAATTTGCTCCCCAATGCTCCCACTGTTTACTGGCTTTTGCCTTGCCAGCAATGTTATGTAATCTTCTAGGTACTTAGGAGATTTCTTTGCTCTCTGTGACCTTCTTAGCTCTGGGTTACTGGCATAAGTTCCCTGACTGGAGGGAGGCGTGAGCCTGTTCTCTCTATTGTGCCCTGGTGTCTTCCAAGGACTGTGCCCCGATGCCTGGCCTGCTTCCTTGCCCACCGGGCTCGTCAGGCCAGGGCTTCTGTTGCTTTGTGACCTGGTTGTCCTACCTAGCTGTAGACCCTCAGGCCCCTTGAAGTGATAGCCACTGCTGGGCGTCTCTGTAGAACCTCCTAGGTCAGTCCAAGACCTGTCAGGAGGCTGTCCATTCCCTGAACCCCATTCTGTGCTCGGGCTCGTGTGGGTTTCTGTACTTTCCCAAAACTCAGGTGTTCCCTGATTTGTGCTAGGGGTGTTGTAGTCGGGACTTGGCTCCTCGACTAGCTCTGTGTATGTTTGACCCCCTGTAGGATTTGGGGTAAGGTCAGGCCAACCTTGGGAATTGTGTGCCAGCTCTCTTGCAGGGAATGATTTGTTGGGATGCCCCCGGGTATCCTCCGTTGCTGGAGTGCTGTGTGATGTGTGTGGAAAGTGAGTATGCCCCGGGGTGACTCCCTGGCTGGAGTAGGCGTGAGTGCCTGTTGTGTGGGTAAGCTCCATGACTTTCTTTTCGGAGCAATTGCGAACCCTGGGATGGGCCGTTTGTGGCTCCCTCAGTGGAGATGGGCAGTAGCTCTTGCCCTTCCCTTTGCTCCAAAGGGTCCCCCTCCCCCCCTGGAAAAGACCCAGGAGTCTCAGCAGAAAAGTCTCGCCTAGAGCGAAGTTGGTCGATGTGCCGACGCAGGACACGACCGTTGTCCAGGGCAACCTCATAGGAGAGAGGACCTGTGATCCTGGACACAGAAGCGGGGACCCATGTATGACCAGGCCCGTAATTGCGAGCCCAAACCGGGGCACCCACAAGTAGTTGTCTAGGTGCCCTAGGATGTGAGGTAGATGAAGGCAGTCTGTCCGGATGCAACCGGTCAAGTCTAGTAGTAAGTTGGCGCCCCCAACGAAGTTCAGCTGGACTTCTCCCTGTAGAAGTGGACGGTGTGGTGCGATAAGAAAGGAGAAAGTCAGCCAACCTGTGATGCCAGTCCCCGTAGGTGAGTCTCTTCAAGGCGTCCTTTGCGATGCGCACCATGCGTTCAGCCATACCGTTGGTGGACGGGTGAAAAGGCGCAGACGTGGCATGACGAATCAGGTTTGCCTGTAAGAAAGCTTGGAATTCGGAGGAGGTGAATTGAGGGCCGTTGTCGGACACAATGACATCTGGCAGCCCGTGTGCAGCAAAAATCCCCCTCAGTACCTGAATAGTCTTTGCAGTGGTGGTGGATGAGACAGGCACAACCTCAAGCCATTTTGAATGGCTGTCAACAAGGACAAGAAGAACTGGCCCTGAAAGGGCCCAGCGTAGTCAATGTGCACCCTAGACCATGGGGACTGTGTTTCCTCCCATCTATGCACAGGAGCTTGGGGCATCTCTGGGCGAGATCGTTGGCACAGGTGGCATGCGTGTACCGTAGCCTCAATACCTTTATCTAAACCAGGCCACCACAAGTGGCTTCGTGCAAGAGCCTTCATACGAACAATGCCAGGATGACCCTCGTGGAGGGATTCTAAGACCCTAGTCCTCATTGAGGTGGGAATGACAACTCTGTTTCCCCAAAGCAGACAACCCTGAGAAAGGGACAGCTCGTTCCTTTTGGACCAGAAACTCTGAAACTCAGGACTAGGGCAGTGCTCAGGCCAACCAGACAAAACCCAGGAACGGACACGTGAAAGTGTGTGATCTGTACCTGTTTCAGCGGTAACATCCCTGGCACTAAGAGGGAGCTCGGGCAAGGCTTGGATTGATAGAATGTTGACAGCTGGCGCAGGGTCAGCTTCTACTACTGGCAGAGGCAATCTACTGAGGCCATCAGCATGGCCCATTTCTTTCCCAGGCTTGTGGAGTAATGAAAAATCATATGCAGACACGAAAATAGACCACCTAAGCATTCTAGGGGAAATGATGTGGGGAGTCTGCTTACGTGTGGTAAACAGTCCCAGCAGAGGCTTATGGTCAGTGAAGACCGTGAAATGCCTGCCATATAGAAAATCGTGGAATTTTTTAATTCCAGCAACAACAGCCAGAGCCTCCCTGTCTATCTGAGCGTAGTTGCGCTCGGCAGAAGACAGTGTTCTGGAGTAGTATGCAATAGGAACCTGAGTTCCATCAGACCTGAGGTGACTCAGGACAGCTCCAACCCCGTAGGGGGATGCATCACAAGCGATGCACACAGGGAGAGACTCGTTGAAATGTGCAAGAACACTGTTAGAAGTGAGCAAGGCCTTGACTTCTTTAAAGCAAGCCTCATGTGCTTGTGACCACAGCCACACAGCTTGTTTGTCTAGTAGCCTGTGAAGAGGCTCAGCTACACTAGCTTTATGTGGAAGAAAAGAATTGGAGAAATTCAGGAGGCCTAAGAAGGCCTGAAGTTCGGCCTTAGACTTTGGCCTGGGTGCTTCTAAAATAGCAGTTAGTTTGGATTCAGCAGGATGAATCCCAGCAGCATCAATTTTGAATCCCAGAAATTCAGTAGAAGGCACCCCAATCTGGCATTTGTCTTTTCTGAGCTTGATGCCTGATTTCCTGAATCTTAACAGGACAGCCCTAAGCCTTTCAGCTAGAATGTGTGTGGAGTCTCCTGCAATCAAGACATCATCAAAGTAGGGGCAGACCCCTGGTATACCTCGTAGTGTGTTTTCCATAACGCTTTGGAAAATCCCAGGAGCGACATTCACTCCAAACTGTAGCCTTTTTACTTAAAAGGCTCCCCTGTGGGTCACAATGGTCTGAGCTATGGCAGCATCATCATCAACAGGCAGCTGTTGATAGCTTGAGCTAGGTCAAGCTTTGCAAAAACAGCCCTCCCCTTGAAGAGGCCAGGATGTGACTGAACCACAGAAAGGATAGGCATGTTTGCTGGCAATGCCTTATTGAGTGTGCATTTTTAATCAGCAAATTGCAAAAAAAAAAAATGTTCCTCATTTTGCCTTTAAGGCGTGACAATGGGGTCTCCCACGGGCTGGAATCAACAGGTTCTAGGATGCCTTTGGATTAGTTTTGTCCTGTTCAGTGTCATCTTTACTTTGTTTAAAGCAAAGGGACCCTTCTGCTTTAATCCTAGATGGGGAGTGACAGTGGGGTCTAGCTTTTAAGTACACAGTTGGTCCTTTGAATGTGCCCCCCAGCTGGGGCTGAAAACATCTGCAAATTCTGTGCAGACTTCCTGTAGGTCGAGTGTT